ATCTACATCCGATAGTCTTTTTTCCTCGTGGTATAGTCTCCAATGTCCAAGTCTGATTTTTCTCAAGAGCTTTCATCTCCTCTTTTATTGCTTGGACCCACTTAGGATCTTTCAATGCTTCAGAGACTTTGGTTGGAATATGGATAGTAGACAACTGATACACAAAAGCCTTGAGTGGTTCAGACAGCTTCTCAGTGGATATATGATTTGCAATTGGATACTTGGATGTCTTGCCAATATCAGGTGAATAACGGTTTGGTGGCTTCCCACGATTTTGCCTGAAAGGTAATTGATATCCAATAGTTTTATCCTCTAAATGCACAAGTCTAGTAGGAATAGTTACCTCAAGGATATTCTCAAGAGATTCTGTTGGTACTGTTGAGTTAGAGGGGGGTCTTCATCTTGTTGTTCTGTATTGTCTGTAGGTGTGAGACTCGAATCAGAAATATCTTCGCATGGATGAGGTGGGTCTGGCAATTGATCGCTATGAATGGGCGATTGATCGCTTGTCGGCAAAGAGTAATCTTGTGCTCTAGACTCGGGATGATTGATCATTTCTGTACAGAGGAGAATTTCTTCATTTTCTAAGTTGCTCCAATTCTGCTCTTCACTTCGTATCTCCCACTGAAGCGTAGAATTGGATGATGGGTCATGAAAGAACAACTCAAATTCCATAAAGGTCAAATCCAAAGTGACATAGGTACGTCGGGTAGGAGGGTGATAACATCGGTAGCCTTTTTGATGAGTGGCATAACCCACAAAAACACAACGAAGTGCACAGGGATCAAGTTTGCTACGTTGATTTTTGTGGAGATGAACGAAAGCCACACATCCAAAGATTCGGGGTGTGAGTAACAAAACAGAGGGCAGAGGTTTGTGTTGCGCAAGCACCTGTAAGGGAGTTTTAAAGGTCAATACACTAGAAGGCATGCGGTTGATCAGGTGAACTGCGGTAACAATAGCATCATCCCAGTGATGGCGAGGAACATGAGCGCCAATCAGAAGTGCTCGGGCGGTTTCAAGAAGATGTCGATTCTTTCGTTCAGCAACACCATTTTGTTGCGGGGTCTGAGGACAAGTTGTCTCATGGATAATTCTATGTTGTTGGAAGTAAGTTTGAAAGTCATGATTGACAAATTCTCCACCATTGTCTGAGCGAAGAATCTGGATTTGAACATTAAACTGAGTCTTCATCTGTTTGTGGAATGACTGTAAACAGGAAAACACTTCATTTGTATTCTTCAGCAAATAAAGTCATGTCATCCGTGTACAATCATCTATGAATGTGACAAACCATCGAACACCAGAAGGAGCAGTGAGAGGTGAAGGTCCTCAGACATCAGAGTGAATTAACATAAAAGGAGTTGTACACTTGTTCGTACTCAACGGGTATGGCACACGGTAACTCTTGGCCAAAATACAAGTATCACATGTGAAATCGGAGTCTTTGAAACCTGAGAATAAATCTGGTATAAGATGCTTCATATAACTAAAAGACGGATGTCCCAATCAACAGTGCCACAACCAGATTTGTTGTTGTTTGCTATCAAAGGGATGCGTCACATTGTTAGCCACGCAGAGACTGAAGTCATCTACATAATATAGCCCCCTCTCTTAGTACCACGACCAAGAATCTCCTTAGTGTGAATATCCTGAAGCAAACAAAAACTCGGATAAATGAGTACACAACAATTCAATTGTTCAGTAAGCTGACTAACTAACAACAATTTATTGGATAAAGATGGAACAAGTAAAGTATTAGACAGTGAGAGAGAGGATGAGAGTTCAACAGTGCCAACCCCCGTCACAGGATAAGTAACTCCATTGGCATTTGCAATACAAGTTCGTCGAGGTTGTGTAGTATTAAGAAAATCATCAGGATCAAACATCATATGATCAGTTGCACTAGAATCAATTATCCAACCCCTGGAATCAATCTGAGCGGAAGTATGGAATCCATAACCAGTACCATTACTGGTCGTATTGCATTGTCCTCGATCTTTAAGAGTAGCCCACCAATCAGGATAGCCATGCAATTTAAAACAAGTCTCACGAGTGTGTCTCGGATCACCACAATATTTGCAATCTGGTCCATGTGTCGGGGTCGTTAGTCGAGAAGTCATAATCTGTGCAGCGGAAGATGTATAGGATACAGGTTTAGTAGGAATTCGGATCGGGATTTGAGTCTGAGTCAGAGCCGGAGTCGGAGTCGATGTTGGGATCGAGGTCTGAATAAAAGACAAATTCGGGGTCGGGGTAGGAGTCATCATCGGAGTGGGGATCGAGGTCGTTGTCAGAGTCGGAGTCGAAGTCGGGTTCATCGTCGTCGTCATAGTCGGGGTCGTCGTCGTGGTAGTCAAAAGAGGATCTTGATTCAGGATCAGATCGGGGCCAAAGTCTGCATCTATAGGAGCTGAGCCATCTGGGCACTCAACTCGGCTATAGTTGGTTGAGAAGGAGAGAAGGAGTCGGTGGTGCTACCTCCATGAGGGATGAAAAAATCATCAACCCCCATAGCAGTGGCGGGGGTTGGAAAATAGAGTCAGCAATTCCAAGATCGCCGCTCTGATACCATGCTAAAATATGAGAACTATGAGAGAATATTTGTTTGTGGGAATTTTCTATGTATTCTTCTCCTTGTAGGAGGTTATATTTATAATACAACGAAATCTGAATGGGCAAGTAAATAATAAATTCCTAAATCTATTTACAGTAGGAAATCAGGAATTAAAGTAAATCAATTACAATTATAATAGGAATTCTTGTTGTGTAAGGAAAGTAAGACAATATCCACAAGTCACGCCAACAAATATCTGATGGACTTGTTACAAAAGAAAAAAATGGAGGGTGCTAAGCCTTGTTATACACCTCTTGGAACTACCAAACTGGATCACGGTGGTACACCTTTGGAAAATCCCACAGAGTATAGATCCATTGTGGGAGGCCTACAGTATTTAACTTCGACTCGACCTGATATCTCATTTGCAGTTAATCAAGTCTGCCAATTCATGCATGCTCCAACTGATTCCCATATGCAGGCAGCCAAGCGAATACTCATATTTCTCAAAGGTACACGTTCACATGGTATATGGTTTCATAAAGGTCCTCTCACTCTATCCGCCTACTCTGATGCAGATTGGGCTGGCTACACTTTTGATAGGAGATCCATGGGTGGATTTTGTGTGTTTCTTGGCTCCAACTTAGTGAGCTGGAGTGCTAAAAAGCAGCGTACAGTTGCTCGTTAGTCTACTGAAGCTGAATATCGATCCCTGGCTCACACTACTGCTGAAGTTACATGGATCTGCAAAGTCTTTCGAGATTTTGGTTTCTCCTCCTCTGTTAAACCTACCATTTGGTGTGATAACAGTTCTGCTATCTCCCTTGCATCAAACCCTGTTTTTCATGCCAGAACCAAACATGTGGAAATTGATTATCATTATATCCGAGAGCTGGTTCTTGCAAATCTGGTTACAGTTCAGTATGTTTGCAGCCAAGACCAGATAGCTGATATTCATACTAAATCTTTGTCTAAGAATCGGTTCCTCTTTCTTCAATCCAAGCTTTCTCTTGGTACTCCTAGTCTTTCCAAGCTCAGCTTGAGGGGGTGTAAAGATAAAGATGCCAAATCATGACTCATGACAGCTCATTTAGTTTGTTAAGCTATATTATGTTTGTTACAGCAGGTTGTTAGGGAAAGTTTAGTACAACCTTGGTTATATATATACACCTCAAATGTAAATGTAATTAAGAAAGAAAAGTTAGTAAATGAAAAGAGGATTATTCAGTAAAACTATTCTTCTGTTTTCCTTTGTTTCTCTAATTTCTTTGTTTTCTTCAATGTTCCTATCTTCTCCATTTTTTCTGTCGATTTCACACAACTCAAACAAAATACCCGAAAGGGAACTAGCAATGATTTTGGGTTTTAAAAATAGTTTTAGGACAAATAGGGAAACAAATTCACCATAAAAATCCAATTTTAAGGCTTAGTTTGGTATTGTTGTGCTTTCAAAAAAAAAACTACTTCTGCTATGTTGCGAGAATAAACAATTGTGAAGTGAAGCAGCTAAATATTTGGTAATCTATATTTGTAAAATTGCTATGAATATAAAAAGCAGTGTCATGGTATTTGGTGAGCTTTTTGTAGAAGTGTTGTGATTGTGTATAATGACCAAAAGGGTATGACAAAAAATATATTTTTTTTCTTCAAAAGATAAGAAATTTCAATACATCTTTTTTCTTTATTTTTTTCTCTCTCCCTTTTCTCTCGACCATTCTTCTCCTTTCTTTCTTTTTTTTGACAGAGACCATTCTTCTCCCTTCTCTACAAGTCTTGTTTTTTACTATCAAAAGTGTAAGCTTTTCCATATGACACCTCTCTCTCTCTCTCTCTCTCTCTCTCTCTCTCTCTCTCTCTCTCTCTCTCCATCCATCATCATCAAGATCTGGGAGCTTGGGATGTTGGCAACCTTGAGTTGATATTTGGGTTCGGTGATGATGCTTGGGACGTCAATGCTACATCCCTACCTCTCTCTCTCTCTCTTTGCTTTATGAATGTGAATAGTGGGACTATAATATTGGGTTTTGTTTTGGTGGGGAAGGCAAGGAAGTTGGGGGTTTGGTTTTCTTTTGCTGGAGGAGATAACTGGAGGGTAATCTGGGTGTTGAATTTTTTGTGGCTGTAGAGATGATAAAGTGTGGAGCTAAGGTTGGGGTTTTTTCGGTTGGAGGGGAAGAAGATATTCTGGGTTTGTAAAATAGGGAGGTGGGTTGGTGGGGTTTTGGGTTGAGATGGTAGCTTTGATGAATTGAGGGAAGGGAGCTAGGTGTTGCCTTGCTACTTGATCCCTGATAATCAGCATGGTGACTGATGCCCGTAACCACTCTCTGATCCCAGCATGGGTAATGGTTGAAGATCTCCTTTCTGCTAGATTTAAGGAGATATGATCTCTTATTTTCCCCTCTATATATACTCTTCATCTGCATTAGGACAAAGTTAATGACTATTCTTATCCATAAACTCTGTATCCATTCTTCTCCACTCTAAATATACCTCTAACTTAGCCATCGGAGAGGGTTCAACTGGTATCACGCCAGTTTTCCCCTCTTCTGATCGTTTAATTGCTTGAAGTGTGCAAGTTATCTTGGAAGATCAACCTAACTTAATAGCCCGGGATATAGTTTGGTCCTGACCCGAGTCAGGACCCCAATGTAATAGAAAAGTCACCATATCAATAGCCCCATTCCCTATGCCCACCATTTTGCCCATATTCCGACACCACCAAAACCTTGACCCGACCCAGATTTTGACTTAATTTCGAAAACCCTTATGGTGGGGGGTAACAAACTGGACCTCTCGCTACTTATTTGAATGACGTTGTTGAAAGCCACTACGAATTTGGCTGGGGTATGGAAGGCCTCGCCTTTTGGGGATGAATCTGGGCTGTTGCGTTTGGGGGGAGAGGGGTGTGGGAGGATAGGAGGAAGGGAGAGAGAGAGAGAGAGAGAGAGAGAGAGAGAGAGATGAGGAGTAGGTAGGTTGGCTGGCTATTGGTCGCAGGTTAGGCGGCGAGGCTGGGACTTGGTTAGGGAAGAAGACTTATTTTTTCCTGTTGGTTTTTTTTTTTTTTTGGGTGGTCTTTTAGTGTTTAGGGTTGTCGAGGTCCATAACCTTGCTTGATCCCATCCTCAAGGTGTTGCCATGGCATCTTCTGTCTTCGTGGTTGGGTGGTGTGGCTAAGGTTGTAGGGTTGGGGTGGGGCTAGGAATTGAGGGTCGGGTAACGGGTTGGGTGCTTAGGGCTGATGGGGTTTCATTTTTTATTTTATGTTTATAAATATTTTTTTAATATTTTAAGCCATTTAAGTTTTAAAAGGTGGGTCTCACATATGCCACATCAACAATTAACAGAACTTCTAACGGTAAGGCTAACGCCAGAATCTGATTGCAAAAAATTGAAAAACTTAGGGTATGCAATTGTTAAAATTGCGAATGCAAGGACAAACATGCCTTACCGATTAGAGTTTGGGGTACTAAATTGAAATTTACTCAAAATAAAATAATAATTTTCATTATATGTCATTTTTTCACCCAATTCAGACATCTTCTTTTGGATGAAGTAATTGAAAATTACATAGAATTCTTAAATGACAGAATTTAAATCTCCATTAGGTATGACAACGTGTCGGGTAGGGGCCGGGTATGACCAAGGTCTAAAATATCGAGAGTTTCGGAAATATCGATGGTCCAAAAACATAGATGTATCGATGGAAATATCGAGGAAATATCAATATCAATAAAATTGAATAAAAAGCACGAAAATTGTGAGAAAAACTCAGAAATTTTTATTGTAACTTTAGAGGATGTTTATTTAGTCAATTGTCTATTATTTTATCACAAAAAATTGGAATAAAATGCATGGCATGGTGGGTTTGAGTGATTTAAGTTGATTATGTAGCGGCTTGACAAACACCGTGTCTTTAGAAAATATGTAGTAATTAGTGAAAGAAAATTAAACACACCATAATTTTTAAGTTATAATAATTTACTACAATATATTACATATGATAATATATATGAGCTTGGAAAGAAAACAAAAATAAAATATATGAGTAACTTGGTACCACATAGAAAGAATTTGTTAAAACTTAGTATCGCATATAATGAACAATATTAAAACTCAATAGTGAATAATAATACAACTCCATAATATATAACCAAAAACAAAAAAATACAACTCCATAATAAAATAATAAATAACATTAAACATATGCCTAAATTTATCATTAGGGATTTTTTTTTAATGGAAATTGATCCTAGATAATATTAGCTTGCAAAATTTTTAAAGACCATGTAAATATTACACATCGTAGTTTAAGTAGTTAAGAGCATTTACTTTTGCACCCGAAATTTTAAATTCAATTTATTATTGTGTACTTGTTGGCAAAAAAAAAAAAGCTGGTGGAAATACATGGTCATGTAAATCATCATAGTTGCATGTAACATGACCATTAGCATCAAACGGATCTGATAGTAAAAGTGTGAACTATTCGTAGTCCGCGGTCAAAGTGCGTTGCACCAAGGTTGAAATGGTCAAAGTATATTGCACTTAAGATAAATTTGTTCCTCACATAACCTCATTTTTCAGATCCTTATGTGAGCAGGACTCATCTTATTTGTGGCTTATAATTTAGATTAAAAACTAAAAGAGAGAGAGAGAGAGAGAGCGAGAGAGAGAGAGAGAGAGAGAGAGAGAGAGAGAGAGAGAAACAAAACATCAATAGCCCAAAGTAAAAGGGCCCAAGAAACTCAACCCACTCCTTGCCACGTGCGAAGGCTTTGTCTTTTATCAAACACACACTCGAAGACGCTCTCACATCCCAAAGCCCTAATCTTTGTAAACCTAAAATCCCCAATCTCCTCTCTTTCGCTTACACACATACAGAGACAAAGCCATGGCTCTAGTGAGACCTGGATCAGGGTCAGCCCAGCCGGCGAAGCTTCGATGGGGAGAGCTCGAAGAGGACGGCGGCGAGGATCTGGACTTCCTCCTGCCGCCGAAGCAGGTGATTGGGCCCGACGAGAACGGGATCAAGAAGGTGATAGAGTATAATTTTTATTTATTTTTCAGTTTTATATCGCGATATTATCTTATCAATAATTTTGCGATATAATGCCCAAAATAAAGCATGAAAGAGTAGGAAATTATTGCCTCCGACATTATCGCGATAATATCGACGAAAATATCGATATATTGACGATATTTAAATGGATATGTGCTATAATATCGTCCATTCAAAAAAACGATATTATCGGCAATATTTCGCCGATAATATCGATATTTAAGACTGTGGGTATGACAATACCATCCTCGTCCTTGCTCTCCATCCACGCCCCCGTCCCCGAACCTATCCCCATTTAATAGGTTTCGGGGAATCCCCGTCCCCGTTTCCGTCAAGGGACTATCTTCCATACTCGCCCCGAATCCCCTATTTTTTTATATTTTTTTTACATAAAAAAATATTTATCATACATTTTAACATTGAGTTTCATACTAAATTATCATTCAACACATCCAAATTAACTATAAAATTCAGCTCAACTATTCAAATTTTATATATGGCAATTAATAATTTATGTGTTTGAATTTATGTATGTCGAATTTTATAAATAACATAAATTACATTAAAAATGAATTTATACTCAATAGAAAGTGCGAATTGACGATTCTTTTGGTGGAAATTAAATTCAGGAATCTCGATTCCCAATTTTCATGATTTTTCCTTTATGTCATTTAATAAGTTCTATATTTAAGTTGCCAAAAAATAAAAACATCAATTTCTTCACTTCAATTCCCAACTTTTTGCTAAATCCTCAATTATTTTCCTCCCTCCAAACGGAGGGTAAAAAAGAAAAAGAAAAAGAAAAAGAACAAAGGAGGGAGAAAAAGAACCAAGCAGACTGGCACAAGCTCCTCCTTCTCCAATCCAAATAACTTGAAATCCGACCCACTTACCTACGATTCTCTCTTTGCTACAGTAAGCACAAATCCACCTCCATTTATAAGCAAGCAATGAGCTTGGCGTTCCTCCAGGGCTATTCTTCCGCTGAAGAAGAAGAAGAAGCCCAAAATCACCGCCTCCATTACCAAAACTCAAACTCGTCGGACGACGACGAAGATGGTGACCAAAGTCACAAACCCAAATCCGTCTTTGACTTTCCCAAACCTCCCTCCTCTTCCATTGCCTCTGGCCTTCCTTCTGCATCTGATGTCTTCTCCGAGGTACCATTTTACCCTAATTCACCCCCTGTTTTTCTTTTTATTTCTCTCTGCAATTTACCATTCAGTTTGAAATTATTATTTTTTTGCTGCTTTTTATGGGTTCATTGTGCTTTTCTTCGATTGGTTGCCGAAGATTTGTGGACCGCCCGATTTCCTCAATAACTGTGTACAAGAAGACGGTTCAACGAGGGATGACGGTCCCCAGAAAGGGAGGCATGGTGCCCGCAACGCCAAACTTCGCAAGGACAAGAAAGATTTACCTGCTGGTTGGTATTTTTTCTTAGTTAATGTTTGTTCATATTATGTTAAAGATCAATTTTATACACTTCAATTCTAAGTACTTTTGGGTTGCTTTTTGTTCAAAACATTCTCCTAAAATTGTCACTGCAGTCAGAGAGACATAGGAGGAGTGATAAAAATTGATTTTACACTACAAATTGGATATGTGGTCCCTGTATAATGAAGTGTATAATGGCTTTAAGAGAAAGAACAGGCACAAATCGCGGTTATTCAACCATATATAGATGACTGAGATGCATCTGTCTGAGTGTATCTTAAACATCTATGTTTAGTCCGCGGTTGAGATGCATGTCCTGAACTTAGGTTCTTATTAGATCAGGACAACCAGTTCACAGAATGGAAGTAACGTTGGAAGTAGACTCTATTCTGTTTATATATTATCCAAATTCAAACTCCAGTTATGGCGTGTTTGCTTGCATGGAATCGGGGAAGTCAAGAATAGAAGAGAGAATGAGTGGGACCAACTATTCACCCATAATCAATCTAACTCCTGGTGTTTCAGATATTGGATTATGAATTTTAGCGTGGAACCTACTTAATTTTTTATTTTGTACGTATTAGTAAACACCGTGGAAGTCATGAATCAGAATAATTCCAGTACCCATTGATAAATTTTCTTATCCTGAGTTTTCTTGAACTGTCTTGCGTAGATCTGCACCTCGTCAATGTGATGCTTTATTTAGTAATTGGAAGTCTTAGGTCAGACAATACCTAGATGTCTTTGCAACATAAAATTATTTGGTTTCTTGGATTTTTATTATAAATTTGTATCTGTTGGAATAATAATTGAGAAGTGTTTGTTTGAACTGTTATTTACGATACTCTGTTGAACTGATGGGCGTTATCTGTGTTCTGGATGCTCATGGCA